AATTAAGACTAGTTTTAGTTGGTAATTATGTACTTAAACAAAAGATAGACAAAGAAGGGGAAAGAGATGTGTGAAAGGGGAGATGTACAGATGAGACAGGTCTCATAAGAATGAGAGGACCTGCTGAAGTGGCTCCTGCTGAGCTAAGCTACTAGGTGTCCTCCAGTGTTGACAGTAGTAGGAAGGTAGTAAACACCTGTGCTTTAATAAGCAGAAAAGAGGAACCAAGAACATGATAATAACCTGAAGCACACCATTTATAATAAGCTGTTTTTGCCCCTTTAATATTCAACTTGATCTAGTACCCTTGTTTATTTATTCTTTTTTTAAAATATTTTTTAGGTTTTTTTTTAGGTGGATACAATATCTTTATTTATTTTCATGTGGTGCTGAGGATCGAACTCAGTGCCTCACGCATGCCAGGCGAGCGTGCTACCACTTGAGCCATATCCCCAATGTGTTTATTTATTCTTAATGGAAAGGGTAGAGAGAATACTATAAAGAAGAAGCCAATTTTTAATCCCAGCTTAGTCACTAGCAAGGATGAGGTGGAGTGTAATGAGGTATGGGGTTTTCTTATCCAAAAATGAGGAAATTGGATTGAATGACCTCTAAGGTCTAATTCTAAAAATCCATACTCAGCTGTCAGAGCTTCACAGAATTAGAACTTCTGTTGTATCATCAGGTCAGAGTGGGAAGAGAGAGAGAGAGAGAGGGAGGGAGGGAGGGAATATGTATAGTAGCATATAGGATACTGAACAGTTGATATGATCATGAGTGTGAATGAGGGAGAAAATGAAAGAGAAAAACACTATTTTGTAGAATATTTGGGGGGGCATTCTCTCTTGAAGATAGTGTGTGTGTGTGTGTGTGTGTGTGTGTGTGTGTGTGTGTGTGTGAGATTTTAGCTTCCTGTTGAAATCCCTCTAGAGCATTACTATTTCCAGGTGGCTTTTTAGGGATAGTGGTGTCTGGCCTGAGTTATCAGGCACAGAACACAGGTCCCACAGTATTGACTCTTAGAGGATCACAATGCTGGATCCTCCTCAAGACTCTTTGACTCTGCTGATGTCTCTGGCCATTGGGACACAGGTTGCCATTTGACCTGTGCCAAAATTGCTCTCTTCTCCTCCTCATATTTATCACTTTGTCATTTCTGACTCTGAATCCCAGAGATCAAGACTAGCAGTAGGCAAGCAGAGGAGTAATAAATCATTACTTCTGCTTCCTTTTCTCCAGGTTTCCTACCCTTAATTACCACATATCTACTGCTGAGCCTGCATCTTTGTTCTGTGTGCGTGCTGAGGACAAAAGCTATGTGTGCTACCCAGCCCTTTCTCTGTGCCTGTGAGTTTATGGAGTCTGATTCAGAGAGTTTGTCAGAACATTGGGTTAAGGGGGTGAAGTATGTAGCCCCTAACTCACTCAGCAAGGTGATCTTCATCAGGAGAGACATTTGAGCTAGGGATAGTCATTTTTATGTGTATTCTTAACTATCTATCTTCATTTCCCTGCTCCAGGCTAAGCAAGCTATGTGTGAACCAGAATGGATTCCTGTGGAGCCTTTTTTCCCCCCTTTCTTTCTTTTTTCTTTTTTGCAGTTCATCTAACAAGATCACTTGTTAACAGATACCATAAAAATGCCAACTGGGGCTGTAGCTCAGTGTCAAGAGTGCCTGCCTAGCATGCTTGAGGCCTTGGGTTCAATCCCCAGGACTGAAAAGGAAAAAAAAAAAAAAAAGGCAGCTGTCTGTCATTTGCCTGATCATAAAATCATAGAGAACTTACATCAGGGCAGGGGTAAAAAGTTCATAAAGGAGGATGCCTGCCTCCTTCAATTCTAGCATGTCCTATTTCATTTGAGGGGAAAATTTAGGCTTTAGAAACAGAAGGTAGGTACAACCTGACTCTTGTACTTTCCTTGCCTGATATATATATTTTTTCTCTCCTTTGTTTTGAGTACTGGGGATTGAACTCAAGGCCTTGCATATGTTAGACAATCACTGTATCTCTGAGCTGTATCCCCAGCCCTTTGTTTTAAAATTTTATATTGAGACAGTGTTTTGCTAAGTTGTCCAGGCTGCCTCAATTTTGTGATCTTCGTGCCTTAGCCTCCTGCCTTAGCTAGGATTACAGGCATGTGCTATCATAACTGGCCAGCCTGCTGTTTGTTTATTATACCTGTGCTGTTAGATAACTAGGGGAGAGAATTGTTGTATGATGGGCAGCAATGTCTATGGAGTCTTTACTCCTACTGATCCTTCCCGCTGTTCCAAATCAAAGCACACATCTCTAAGAGTAGTTAACTTAAAACAAAGCTCAGGCAGCATGGGAGAATGGAATTTTTTGCTGGCAAAGAAATAGATATGGTTTTAGAAAAGGAGAGATCAAGTTTTTTGGTTTTTTTTTTTTCATCTGTGGAAGGAGGGAGGTATGAGGACAAGAAAACAGACCACAGAATGCTTTAAGTTGCTGACCCCCTTCTGAATAGTTTCCTATCAAGAAGGGGAATATGTACAGTAGCATTAGTCAAGATAGGTTCAGAAGCAGGATTCATTCCATGGACAGATGTCCTAGGTGAATGAGTGTAAGGCAACTGAGAATTTGCTTTATGTTTAGCACTTGTTTGCAAAAATGTCTTTAAAACTGTACTGTTAACCTAGGGACTTGAAGTCACTTTCTTTACTGAGATTACTCAGTTTTAGCAATTCCTTCCCCTCACTAAGGGTTACAGGGCAGAGGAAATATTTTCAGTCAATATTTTCACTGTCAAGAGAGATAGAGCAAGCTTCACTTCTATTTGAATAGCTTAACACTTAAGTACTTTTTTTTYCCTTCATTAGCTACCTTACCACTTAGAGTGGAGGTTCTAAGTATTGTTGCCATATATGGTGACCAGTTAGAATGGATAGCAATGATGTTTGAAACAGATAATATGACTAAAGCTTTTTAACATTAGATGCTTAGCAGCTTGAGGTGGAAGAGGACCCTCATTTTTACCTGTAAATTGAGGAAATTTGATGAGGAAATCACTGTGTAGGAGTAAATTTGGAACACTGAGATGTCAGTTTTATAGTCAGATTTCTGAGCTTAATTGCTACTTAAGAAATGGTGAAACGAAGTAGGTTTTTTAAAACTTTATATGAGCAGATAAGCAGATGTGGGTCTGGGGAGGTTAGTACTTACTTTACATATATTTGGTTGTTGCTAGGGATTAAGCCTCAGGCTTTGCATATGCTAGTCAAACAGTCTTTTGCTGAGCTATACCCCCAGTCCTTAATCTGCTCTTTAAAAGACTTGAGATAATAGACCCCAAATCATAAGCAACAAAAGCATAATGGACAGATGGGATTATGTTAAACTAAGAAGGAAATGATCAGTTGATAAAGAGATAGTCTACAAAATGGGAGAAAATATTTGCAAACTATTCGTTTGACAAGGATTGATATTCAGAATTGATAAGGAACTAACAACAAAATGAAACAAACAAAAACCTTAATAACAATAAAGTAATTCAGTTAAAAAATGCACCGGGGACTAAGGGTGTAATTCAGTGGTAGAACATGAATACACCAGGCCCTGGGTTCAGTTCCTAGCAGCAAAAAACAAAAAAACAAAGAGCAAATGATTTGAATAGACATTTCACAAAAGAAGAAATACAAATGATCAACAAATATATGAAAAATGCGTTACATTAGCCATCAGAGAAATGCAAATCAAAAATCACAATGAGATATCTCATTCCAATTAGAATAACTTCTATCAAAAGGAAAAAAATAACAAATGGTAGGAGGATGTGGACAAGAGGGGTGGGATAATGTAAATTAGTATACACTGTGGGGTAATGTAAATTAGTATAGCCATTATGGAGGATCATATGAGAGTTCCTCAAAAAACTGAAAATAGGGGTTGGGGCTGTGGCTCAGTGGCAGAGCGCTTGCCTAGCATGTGTGAGGCACTGGGTTCGATCCTCAGCACCACATCAAAAATAAACGAAGGCATTCTGTCCATTTACAACTTCAAAACAAAACAAAACAAAAACAAACCTGAAAATAGATCTACCAACTGTCTTACTTCTGGGTATATGTCCAATGGAAATTAAATTGTCATTATCAAAAAGATAACCTGTAGCCAGGTGCAGTGGCACATGCCGATAATCCCAGCAGCTTGGGAGGCTGAGACAGGAGAATCTCGAGTTCAAAGCCAGCCTCTGCAATGGCGAGGTGCTAAGCAACTCAGTGAGACCCTGTCTCTAAACAAAATACAAAATAGGGCTGGGGATGTGGCTCAGGGGTTGAGTGCCCCTGAGTTTAATCCCTGGCACCAAAAAAACCGAAAGTACTCTCATGTTATTGCAGCATTATTCACAGTAGTCAAGATATGGAATCAACCTAAGTGCCCATTACCAGTTGAATGGATTTTTAAAATGTGTTATATATACACAATGGACTTATTATTAAGCCTTAAAAATAATGAAGTCCTGTCATTTGCAGCAAAATGGATGGAACTGGAGGACAGTTGAGTGAAATAAGCCAGGCACAGAAAGACAAATACTACATCTTCTCTCGGATATACAAAAGTTTTAAAAAGTCAATCCAAATGTGGAGTAGCAGTTACTAGAAGTTGAGAAGTGGATGTGGGAAAGACAGAGGGTCATTGTATAAAGAGTACCAAAAACAGATGGAAGGAATAAGTTCCAGTGTTCGGTGGCACAATGGAGTGATTAAAATAACTTATTAAGTATTAGAAGAAAGGAGCTCTAAAGCTTCAAAGAAATAAATAATAAGAAGATAGAAATGCCGGTTACCCTGATTGGTATACACTGTCTTTGTGAGTTGAAATAGCACACTGTACCCCATAAATATATATAATTATTACTTGTTAATCAAAACAAAACACCGTGCAACAGGGACATCTATAGATCTACTGTGCTTTCATTTAACTTTATTGATCATGGTTTGCATAGTTTGTTGATATCTTTTTTTTTCCCCCCCTTAAAGCCTTGATAAATTTGCTGAAGTTCCTTATGTCAAATGAAACTGTACTTTTGGCCAAACACAACATTTTTACATTAGCCCTTATGGTGAGTAATACAAAATTTCTTTTTTGAAAGCCATATTCTAAGTCAGAAATGGGCTGATTTGAAACAGGAGTTGGTAGTCTGGGGACTGAGCTCTAGCAAGAATTTGGATATATTTTCCTTGTGGATCAGAATCTCCATAGACTAGTGTCCCTACTCTTACCTGTGTATTTGACAAACATAGAACTCTTTTTTCCTTCATGAGAGTATATTGCCTGGCAGCTATGGGGGTAGGTCAGATTTCTGTGTATGAATAGTGAGCCTGATTCCAACTGAGAGACTTTACATCAATACTGTAGTCTCTACATTGGTAAATAACAAAGCATTTAGAGGTGTCCCAGCCAGATGAGTGTTTCTGTCATGGCTGTGCTGGGTTTCTGAGGGACATTACAATTGCCTGTTTGTTGGTTATTTTGGGTACAAGAATACCATTATGTCTTTTGACTATCTCTATTTGTTTATGGATATTCAGCATTTAAAGGGGAAAAGTCCTGATCTGTAGGCTAAGCTAATTTTCATTGTAGAATTGTACCCACCATGGCCAATTTCAAGCTATCTACATGACATTAGAGTCATACAGAGTTGAGAAGATATGTACTGTAGCACACCATTATATGGTATTCTCACCACTCAGATTATAAGAGATATAAATTAATCTTAAGATCATAGGTCATAGTAAAAGAAAATAATTAGGAAGTGATAAGTTTATATTATTTATTCATTTTAATATAATTTATTTAATTGTACATTTATATGAATGAATTCTTAATATATATTGCTGTGTTTTACAACCAGTTTACACAGTCCCTGAAAATTTGACTGTCAGCTCTTGCAAACCAGTAAGAGATGGCGATTTGCATACCACTGATAATACCTTTCTGATCTTCATAGCCTGATGCCTCTATATGGGCTATTGCTTCTTTTTTAGATTGTGAACTTATTTAATATGTTTATCACATATGGCGACACATTCCTACCAACCCCCAGCAGCTATGATGAACTTTACTATGAGATTATCCGCATGCATCAGAGCTTTGACAACCTCTACTCCATGGGTAAGCTATATTTTTCTGTTTTGTTTTGTTTTGTTTGCTCTGCTTTCTCCATCCCCTGTCTGGTTTTTGGCGAATAAAAGGGAAATATTATAAAAGATTGCACTCCAGTGGGTTGATGCCTTTGATCAGCATAGAAGTACAGTGGTTTCCTCTTCTTAGGCTATAGGAAACTACACGTGGGCTATTTTGCCTTTAGGAACTCAGATTTCATCTCAGTGCAACGCTGGTTATCAGCATTTTGTTGATGTTTATGAAAGGGAGAATAAAGAGGGTCTTGGATTCAGCAAATGCAGGTGAAATGGGGGTTAAAGAGTGGGTGGGATTTGATACCAGCAAATAGAAGAGCTTGGATTCCAGAGGAATATTCTATATTGCAAGCCAGTAAGAGATGGCGATTTGTATACCACTGATAATACCTTTGAGAAAGTACAGAGTTTTAAGGAATCTTACTGTACCTTTGTATTTTTATTTTTAGTATTACTTAAAGAAGGAGTGGGAATTGGATAAATATCATTTTTTTGTAAAGTTTTTAGTAATTGGCTCGCTAAAAATTTACAGCCACAGTGAGTATAAGGTAATGTATCTGCAAATTTGGGAAAAAGGCCTAGTGAATCCTAACTGGAGTTTGAAAGGTAAGGAAAGATATTTGTATTCAAAAACAGAAAGCCACTCAGTAAAACTATCTTATTTTAAAAATCCTGACACTAGCTTTATTGATGTATAACATATATAATAAATGTTGCACATTTAAAATATACATATTTTGATAAATTTTGATATATGTGAAATTATCATAGTGATTGAGATAATGAACATATTCATTATGTTCATTATTTCATTTATTATTTTATTCATTATGTTCATTCATTGCCTTCCTTGTGTCCTTGCTTCCTTGTGTCCCTTCTCTAATGTTCCTTTCCCCACCAGTACCTGCTGTGTCCCATCCCTTGGCAGCTATGGATCTCTTTTCTGTCACTATGTATTAGTTTGCTTCATCCCTCATGATGAGAATATTTGTAAAAACTCCAGCCTTGGAACTTCTACATAATGAGAAAAGTAGAGAGGATTTAGAACAAGTACCAAGAAAAAGAATAGAAGCAAATAGCAGAAAAGATGAGTTGTCTTGAGGATTTTTTTCTATAATAGACTTTAGCTTTTAGAGGAGTAGTAGAGGAATTTTTTTTTTTAAGTGGTGTGGAGGATTGAACCCAGGGCCTTGTGCATGCAAGGCAAGCATTTCTACCAGCTGAGCTATTCGTAGGTTGGTTTCAACTTCAAGTGTCAGAAAATTCTGATTTAAACTATCTCAAACAATAGGAGAATTATTATACCTTATAATAACTCTAAGGAACAAAAATCATCATACCTGTAAGAATTCTTGAATGGTGGGTGGGCACAGTGGCGCATGCCTGCCAGCAATTCAGGAGGCTGAGGTAAGATCACGAGTTCAAAGCCAGCCTTAGCAACTTAGTGAGGCCCTAAGCAACTTAGTGAGACCCTGTCTCAAAATAAAAAATAAAAAGGGCTGGGTATGTGGCCCAGTGGTTAAGCGCCCCTGGGTTCAATCTCCAATACCAAAAAAAGAAAGAAAGAATTCTAGAATGGTATGATCAGTTGCTCAGCAATGTCTGCAAGAACCCAGGTTTTTCTATTTCTCTGCTCTCTCATTCTCAAAGTAAGAGCTTTAGCATCAGGTCAGTTCCCCTCAAAACAGCAAGTTCTGGTTGTAATGTCAAGATACATCTCTTTTTTTAGGAGATAGGAAGTCATCTTTGAGAACCCTTCAACTGACTTCTCATTGGCCAGATGTGCTCAGTGTACCTTGTTGTGGTTTGTATCTGCTTGGCTTTACCAAAATCCTTGTTTTCTGAAAATGTAGAATTTTCTAAGGTTGAAGAACTGCTTCAGAGGCTTTGGCATTCATCTGTAGATGAATAAAAATGACTTTCAGTGAGGAAAGGAAGGGTGAGTTTGGAAGAGATATTTTTTGAAAGCCTCACATACCTGCCCAACTTGGCCATTTTTCCAGTCAAATGGGATAAGCTCTTGTGTAGCTTCAGCAACAAGATAGAGATGATATCTATGAATTCCCACATTTACCAATGGAATGAAAATTTAATTAGGAAGCACAAATAGCAAAGTAAAACTTTTCATTAACCGCTGGGTGCAGTGATGTACATCTGTAATCAAAGCTACTCAGGAGGCAGGAAATGGCAAGTTTGAGGCTAGCTGCCAGGTTTCTGTTCTCACGACTAAGAGGCTCAGGGGTCACTCTAGTTAAACTGGGCTAACTGGGCTGCACAAAATAACCACACAAGAGACACAAATACCTTTTTCTTTGGGGTCGCTGTGACGGCTCCTCTGACCTTAAGGGTCTGCAGAAAGAGAGAGAGCACGCGCTGACCCCTTTTATTGAGGAGAAGCTATTCAAATGAGGCAAGGGGTCAGGTTTCAGGGGGCTGAGTCTATCTTCATGATGTCCACTGTCAGCAGGTTGACTGACACCTGGGTAGGCCACACCCAAGGGCACAGTAAGAGAAGGGGACACACACAAGGCACTTCCATGGAAGATTCTATCCTAAACAGGGCAAGGGGTTATATTACAAAGCAACAGGTGAGCATAGCTGCACCCATGGGGCTGTAGGAAGATACACCCATTTCTGTGACTGAGGGCCTCAGCACCCAGCTGGGGAATGTAACTCAGTCACCCATAAGGTTGGCTTCCCACAGCTAGCCTAGGCAATTTAGAGATTTTGTTTCAAAATAAAAAAAATAGCCGAACATGGCAGTGCATGCCTGTAGTCCCAGCAGTTTGGGAGGCTGAGAGAGGAGGATCTCGAATTCAAAGCTAGCCTCAGCAACTTAGCGAGGCCCTAAGCAACTCAGTGAGATCCTGTCTCTAAATAAAATACAAAATAGGGATGGGGATGTGGCTCAGTGGTCGAGTGCCCCTGAGTTCAATCCCTGACACCCCAAAAAATAAAATAAAAAAGGGTTAAGGATGTAGTTCAGTGGTAGGGTGCCCCTGGGTTTTATCCCCAGCACTGGGGAAGAAACATTACTAATTGAAGTACCATCGATATTTTGTTGACAGTGCTCCCCATTTCATGTTAAAATGTGATAAAACTTGTGGTAGAAAAAAAGGTTTTTAAGTTAAGTTTCTTGAAGTATAATTTATATAGACAATAAAATTCACTTTTTTATTTGTACCAAGGATTGAACCCAGGGCACTTAACCACTCAGTCACGTCCCTAACCCTTATTCATATTTTATTTAGACACAGGGTCTCACTAAGCTGCTGAAGCTGACTTTGAACCCACAATCCTCCTGTCTCAGCCACCTGAGCCACTGGGATAAAATTCACCCTTTTTAACGTACAGTTCTAAATTTTAACACATGCATTAAGTAGTATAATTATCACTAAAATCAAATATAAGTGTTTCATCATTCCAAAAATTTCCCTTGTGCTCTTATGAGGTCAACTCTCAACCTCTAGCAATCACAAATCTGTTTTCTGTTGCTTGATTCTTCTCCTGTTTTGGGTCATAAACATTGTGATTTTTGTGATACGGATGCTGGATTTTATTGTTACTTTAATGTTGGGCATTGTTCTGGAATGTGGTTATGTGATGTGGAAACAGTTTGATTCTTTCAAGGTTTGTTTTTAAGGGTTGAGGGCAGGTCAAGAACAACTTTTAATGTAGGATAACTTGACTCCGTTACTAATGCAGTACCCGTTTGCAGAGTTTACTGATTGATACTCCATATATTAGTAGGTCTTTTCACTCCTGCTGGTGGAGCCTGCCATGAGCTCCCCAATCCCTCCTTTCCCATGGTTTGTCCTCAGCCTTGGGTAGTTTCCTTTTCCATATGTACACATTAGGGCTCAGCAAGAGACATAAGTATACTTGTCCACAGATCTCTAGAGCTTTCTGTCAAAATCCCTCCTTGCCAGCTCTTTGCCCTTTCTAGATGCCTTGTCCTTTCCAAAGGCTGATCTCTGTCTTCAGTTTGGCAAGACTTCTGGTTTCTGTTTAGGTTCCTCCTCCCTGCTACTTGGAAACTTCTCCATGTAATTAGTTGGGGTAATCATAGGGTGCATGTTTGTTTTCCATCTGTCAGGTATCACAGCTCCATCTTGCCTGTTTTCCAGTGTCTGATAACCATTGTTTCATATATTTGCCAGTGTTTTACGGGAGGAGGGTAAATTGTGTCTTGTTATCTCATCATGGCTAGCAGAACACAGTTTACTGAGACCTTTTTTTTTTTTTTGGTGTGTGTGTGTGTGTGTGTGTGTGTGTGTGTGTGTGTGTGTGTGTGTATACCAAGGATTGAACTCAGGAGCACTCAAGCACATCCCTAGCCCTATTTTGTATTTTATTAGAGACAGGATCTCACTGAATTGCTTAAGGCCTTGATGTTGCTGAGGCTGACTTTGAACTTGCAGTCCTCCTGTCTCAGCCTCCCAAGCTGCTGGGATTACAGGCATGCACCACCATGCCTGGCATTACTGAGATATTTTTGATAAAGGCACTTGCTTAATGTTCTTATGGTATTATTAAAAAATTTTTTTTTTCAGTTGTAGGTGGACACAATACCTTTATTTTATTTATTTTTATGTGGTGGTGAGGATCGAAACTAGTGCCTCATGTGTGCTAGGCAAGCACTCTACCACTGAACTACAATCCCAGCCCCCTATGGTATTATTTTATTACAGTCTACTGTAATAGGAAGGACTTCTACAGGAGCTGGCCTGAACCATAAATCACATCCTGTTTTGAACCTTTTTTTTTTTCCATTTTTACAAAGAGGGATAATTACCAATACTAAAGAAAGAACACAGGAAAAAATTTTAAATCTTTTAAACCTTTGATTCTAGTATTATTTTTAAAATATTTTATTTTTTTTTTAGTTTTAGGTAGACACAATATCTTTATTTTACATTTATGTGGTGCTGAGGATCAAACCCAGTGCCTTGTGCATGCTAGATGAGCACTGTACCACTGAGCCACAACCCCAGCCCCTGATTCTAGTATTATTATGTAATAATTTTCATGTTGTATATTGCTTCACATGCACACATAGTTTAATATAGTTGTAATCATAATATATTATTTTGTGGGGTTTTTTGATAGTGGGGATTGAATCCAGGGCCATTTTATCATTAAGCTACATCCCCTGTCCTTTTTATTTTTTATTTTGAGACAGGGTCTCAGCTGAGGCTGAACTCCAATTTGCAGTCCTCCTGCCTTAGCCTCGTGAGTTGCTGGGATTATAGGTTTGTGCCATCATGCTGGCTTTATTTTTCAAATTTTGTGTTTTTAACTTAAATACTACTCTTCCTCTTCCCCCTTCCCTCCTCCTCCCTTCTTTTTCTTCCTCCTTCTCTTCCCCTTCTTTTTCTTCCTCCTCCTCTTCCTCTTTTTCTTCTCCTCCTCCCCTCCTTCTCTTGCCTCTTCTTCTTCCCTCTGCCTTTTCCTCCTCCTCTTTCTCTCTCTTCTTCCTCCTTCTCCTCCTCCTCTTCCTCCTCCTCTTCCTCCTCCTCTTCTTCCTCCTTCTTCTCTTCCTACTCCTCTTCCTCCCCTCTACCTCCTCCTCCTTCTCCTGCTTCTTCTCCACTTTCTTCTCCGCCTCCTTTTTTTTTTGTTGCTATACCAGAGATTGAAATCATGCTAGCCAAGCCAATGCTTGACCCCACAACTCCCTTACTTATTTTTTAAGTCTCTGTTTTAATGGCTACATAATATGTAATTTTTGTATAACATAATTTACTACACAAATGATTGCTTTAGTTCGAGGCATTTAAGGCATTTTGAAATAATTTTCTTTTTTACATTTAGTAGAGAACATAGAAACCAATGGTATTTGGGCGCGATGGTGCATGCCTGTAATCCCAGCGACTTGGGAGGCTGAGGCAGGAGGATCTCGAGTTCAAAACTAGCCTTAGCAATTTAGTGAGGAGCTAAGCAACTCATTGAGACCCTGTCTCTAATAAAATACAAAATAGGGTTAGGGATGTGGCTCAATGGTAGAATGCCCCTGAGTTCAATCCCTGATACTCTCCTTCCCCCCCMAAAAAAACCTAATGGCATTACTAAAAGAATTTCATGGTAAGGTCATATGGTTGCCCATCCACTAAGGAACAGAGCTGACAGGATATTTTGGAGAAATAATTTGTGGGCAAGTTAAACACCTCTTAAAATTTGAAGAGGGGACAATTCAGTTCATATATGTTCATATAAGGTTATAGGTGTGTACTACAATTCCATATATGTTTAGGTCCCTATAATCAGAAAACTTATGATCTAGTAAAAAAAAAATGCATCTAAGTAATCTTCACATTTGAGTTGAAAAAGACATGTCTGACCTGTTGAAGCAATTTGGTTCATTTCATGAATAAATTTGCATATACAATAAGTGGAACCTGAATTCGGAATGGAGAACCCTAACTTGAAACTATCCCAATTTTTCTTGCAGTCAACCTTATAAATTAGAAAAGCAGCACTCTGATAATGTTTTACTAAGGCTTCCATCTTGTCTTCTCTTTTATAAAATTACATGTATTTATAAAATGGAGGCATTGATAGAACAGATGCAGAACAGCCAGATGAGTTTTGTTAACTGATCACAGCAACCAGGCCTTCCCTCTGATAGAGCTACTGCTGCTATTCTTCTTGCTTGGGATCCTGGATCAGGAGCATATGGTGATGGTATTCAGTATGACATTCCTACGCAAACTGATCATACATTTCTTTCTTTCTCCTTTTTGATTGAACCCAGCAACACTTTAAAACCCTGAGTTACATTCCCAGTCCTTTTTATTTTTTACTTTGAGATAGGGTCTTGCTAAATTGCTGAGGCTGGCCTCAAATTTAATCCTCCTGCCTCAGCCTCCCAAGTTGAAGGGTTATAGGTGTCTACTACTTGATCACACATTTCTTAATGTTAGGCCCTCTTTCTTTCTTTCCTTCCTTTGGAAAGTCTTAGGTAGATTTATTCATTCATTCATTTGGGAGGCAGTCTATTGAAATCAACAATATCTAAAACTTTCAGAGCTCTATGGCAGTCACTAATCTAAGAACTTTATAGGTATTAGCTCATTTAATTCTTCATATGTATATGTGTATATATATGAACATATATATGTGTGTGTGTATATATATGTGTGTGTGTGTGTGTGTGTATATGTGTGTGTGTGTTGTCAGTGGACCTTTATTTTTTATTTATTTATATGTGGTGCTGAGAATCGAACCCAGTGCCTTACACATGCTAGGCAAGTGCTCTACCACTGAGCTACAACCTCAGCCCCAGAGATCATGCTTTTTAACTACTAATTTCTCTGCATAAACACTGGTTCTAGAGTAATTCCCTCTAGGTTCAAATTCTACCTCTATCACTTGCAATTTGTGTGAAGGATCTCAATTACTTGTTTCCTATGAATCTCAGTTTCCTTATCTGTTTGTCATATTGCATACAATCTAACTTTGTCCAGTGTCTGGCATGTAGTAAATTCTTTATATATTTACTTCTTTTTAGTGAGTCATTCATTAAAATATATAATTGAAGTGCCTAGCAAGTTCTTGTTGTTTTAAAAGGAGCACTTGAGCTGTTTTGTCTTTTTTCTAAATTGCATACTTCAATATGTGACTCTGAAGAGCATAGCTGGCATAGGATGTGTTTAGTTTTGTATTTCTGTTATTTTTTTCTCCCATGGGTGAGTTTGGGAAAGAGAGAGAGTTTAATCAGGTAAGGAAGAATCTTCCTGTTGATTCATTCTACAGGTCACACAATTAAGTCAGACTTGCAAAAATAAATTATTCCTTGATTGAAACATGACTACCCTCTATCTGGAAAATTTATTTTCCCTGTTTGGGGGTATGCCTTTAGGTTTGGAAAGGTATACCTGGAGCTGGAGGGAACACCGACTTAGCCAGTTCCACTAAATTAGCCCACGCCACTAGAGAAATGACAAGTATGGAAGCCAGTTTACCCTCAAATTATCACTCCAGACTATATTTTAAAAGAAAATAAAAACTAAGTTTTGGAGCTGGGTGCAGTGGCATATGCCTATTATCCCAGAGAATTGAGAGATGGGAGGCAGAGGATCACAAGTTTGAGGCTACCCTCAGAAATTTAGTGAGACCCTCAGCAACTTAGTGAGACCCCTGTTTCAAAATAAAAAATAAATTTTTGGGGATGTAGTTCAGAGTTTCAGAGTTAAAGTTCTCCTGAGTTCAATCCCCAGTTAGCCCCATTCCTCCCCCCTCCGCCCCACCAAAAAAAAAAAAAACCCAAAAAACTACTGGAACCCTGTTAATAGGGAGTGGCAGATGGAGTCCAACCCAAGACAGATTGGCTAGAGTATTTTGATAGAAAATAAGAAGTTAGAGAAAAAAATTTCTAAAGAATATAGCTGAAAGGATTCTATAAGCCCTTATATTTTTCTCTAGGCTGAGGATGTTTGTAACAGAAGATTGGCACAGGCTTTGTTTGGTTATTCTAATAGTGCTATTTTGAGATTTGTTTTCATTCCTCATATTTGTGTTTTATATCAGGGGTTTGACAGATCTGTGTTCTTTGCTTCTTTACAGTCCTGAGGCTTTCTACTAATGCAGGCCAATGGAAGGAAGCAGCTAGCAAGGTGACCCATGCATTGGTTAATATCAGGTAAGAAATGAAAATTTTTTTCTTTCAGAGTTCTTGACTCATTCTGAGGTTTATTGTACCTTTCTAAGTAGAATGCATTGAACACTACTGCTATTTTAAGCTCTGGTGTCTGTAGGAGTGGAAGAAATTGTCGTACTTGATCAAGAAAAGCAGGAGTACATGAGGTTTTCATTTGATCGTATTGAAACAGCTCGAAGTGCTAGCTGTTCTGTGAATTTTCTACCAAGAGATGGTTGCAAGCCCTTTTCAGGCATCTTAGCTGCCAAAGTATTTTCTGTGTATAAGTCATCTGAAAGTTTTTTTCTGAAGATTTCTTCTGCTGTTCTTTATGACTTTAGTGGATGACTCATAGGGATCTAGAACTTTGACATTTTACTATATGTGCTGTTTCTATTTGTGGTAAAGAGAAGCAAATGGAGTCTGGACATAGGGCTAAGTGATTTTAGATTCCTTATGAAACAGCAAGGCAGTTACATGGTGCTGTATATGTTGGATGAAATTATGTCAGATGTGGTCATAGTCTTGAAGAAGCATTTCACTCACAGGAGTGAGCTGCCAATAAGTAGAGAGGAGAAAGTGCTTTTGCTATCATGAGACCTAAATCTGACTTTTCTTCCTTCTTCCCTTTGTGCCTATGATTTTCCATTTCTCAATAGTTATTAAATCATTTTTGCAAACAATTGAAAAAATTAATGTTGAGTAAAAGAGCAAATCCAACAGATGGGGAACTTGATTTAGCTCCAGATGTAAGCCTTTCCAGACATTCCCATAATAGTAATGCACATTTACAACTTGGTTATAGATTCTAATGTGTGACAGAGCTGGGGTGTGATGTTTGTTTCTGTATATTTTTCCTTTTTCTCTCCCTCTTTTTTTTTTTTTTTTTTAAGGTAAAATGTCCTGTCCCTGCAGTTATTTACTACAGTGCTTGGCACTTCTGAGAATAAAAGAAGAAGTGTAAAATTTGTGTGTGAGGAGGGCTGGGCTGAGGGAGCAGGGGGTGAGATGTGCTAACAAGATTGCAATGAAGGTTGGACTCCTTACCTGTCCCCAGAGACATTTTGCAGCAAACACAATTTTATAAATCTCACAAATAAATGCATATCTATATCTAGCAAATAATCTAGACACTGTGGTGAAGTCTTATGATAAATGTGAATTTCAGTAAGAATCAGGAACTATAAACTGTCTTCTTCCAAATATTTCTTTGTGACCCCAAGGGCAGTATGACAAATGTGGGTGTTTGAAGGAAGCACAAAGTTCTGTGCTAGAGAATGAAGTGCATATGGGTATAATTTATGTTGTGTATTTACATAGGCTTTCCTGGCAGCTTCTTTTCATTTGGGGCCTATTTCCTTGATCACATTCCTCTATGCTTGCTTTATCTCTAGCTTTCCTTTCAGTGGTTTCTGGGTTGGCTGCCGTCCTTATTCTCTCCACCGACCCATCAAACAGCTTGATGGTTAAAGCTCCGGGTCTCTCCTTTTTTCTTTCCTTTTTTGTTGTTGTTGTTGTTGAGGGTGGGGTGGGATACTGGGTATTGAACCCAGGGTGCTTTCCCACCAAAGTACATCTCCAGACGTTTTTTTTTTTATTTTGAGATAGGGTCTCACTGAGTTTCTGAGGCTAGTCTTGAACTTGTGATCCTCCTGCCTCAGCCTCTTGAGTAGCTGGGATTATAGGTGTGCATCACCACACCTGGCTGACCTCTTCTTTTTCTGAATAATGGAGATAAAATTGGGCTAAACCTTGGAAAAAAACGCCCTAACCATGACCTCTTCCTTTGCTTTGCATCACTCTGTCAGGCCTCTACTTTTATTTTCATTCCTCAAACTTCTCTGATGAGCTTGCTGCAGAGAATAATCACATCATTTTCATTGTTGCTAATGAATTAGAATGTATGCCTAAAGTAGCAAAAAAAAAAAAAAAAAAGACCTATCACTTTTCTCAAGAGATTACTGGAAAGATGTATTTGAATTTATCACACTGAGTCTAGATCATGGAAAATACTAAGCACAGAAGTTTACCTTTTTTTCTTTCTAACATCTGTTTTTATCATTGCCAGACTTTGTGCTGCCCTTTCATATACTATCTTTTTAATCTTCAAACTCTATGGATTATGTCATGTGTTTCTTTTTTTAATATTTTTTTGTAAGTTTTAGGTGGACACTATATCTTTATTTTACATTTATGTGGTGCTGAGGATCTAACCCAGTGCCTCGGGCATGCTAGGTGAGCACTCTACCACTGAGCCACAACTCCAGCCCTTGTCATATGTTTCTTAAAATATACTTTTTCCCACTGAGGAAACTGAGCCTATAGATCTTGAATTGTGGTAAAACAGATAATAGTAGGCCATCCAACTCTAAGCCTAGAGCTCTTTCTTCCATACCATAATACCTCTTTCTTTTAGAGTTACAGCAAAAGCTACTATGGAGGTAAATAGAGAACACATCATGAAAGAAGCATGGAAATTTGAATTAGAAAAACTAGAGTTTTAATTTTTGTCTTTACCATTCACTATATGACTTTGAACAAATTACTTAGTTTTAGTTTTTCTGGACCTCTTTTTTTTTCTTTTTTTTGTGGTACTGGGATTGAACCCAGGGCCTTGTGTATGCGAGGCAAGCACTCTACCAACTGAGCTGTATCCCCAGCCATTCTGGACCTCTTTCTATCATCTGTAAAACAGGAGTGATGATGATATGAACTATTTCATAGGAGGGCTGGGGATGTGGCTCAGCGGTAGCTCGCTCGCCTGGCATGCGTGCGGCCCAGGTTCGATCCTCAGTACCACATACAAAGATGTTGTGTCCGTCAATAACTAAAAAATAAAATATTAAAAAATTCTCTCTCTCTCTCTCTTTAAAAAAAAAAACCTATTTCACAGGATAGGGATGGTAAAAATTATATATATTAAAGCTCTTATTGCTAGGTGCAGGGGCACATGCCCAGCAATTTAGGAGACCAAGGCAGAAAGATCATATGTTTGAGGGCAGCCTGGGCAACTTAATGAGACCCTGTCTCAAAATAAAGTAAAAAGGGCCGGGGATGTAACCCAGTGGAGAGCACCTCTGGGTTTAGTCCCCACTACAATAAACAAAACAAAACAAAACCTCTTAGGAAACTACAAAATTTTGGTCATTTTACTTAGCACAGTGTCTTCAGGTTTCATCTGTCTTGTAGCATGTGTCAGAATTCCTTCCTTTTAAGGCCACATAATTTCCCATTTTGTATATGTGCCACATTTTGTTTATCAGTGTATTTATTGGTGGACACTTTAGTTGTAGTTCCCCTTTCATTGTCTTTTTCGTTTTCCTTTTCTTTAGAGGAGTGGGTGAGTGGATACTTTGAATTGAACCCAGGGTTGCTCTACCACCGAACTACAACCCTAGTCTTTTTCTGCTTTTTATTTTGAGACAAGGTCTTGCTAAATTGCTGAGGCTGTCCTGGAACTTAAGATCCTCCTGCCTCAGCTTCCCAAATGCTTGGGATTACAGGTGGGTGCCACTGTGCCCAGCTCTACCTTTTCTTTGTTGCACATAATGCCACTTTTGCTTCTTTTTGGCATCTACCCAGAATAAGAATTGCGGGATCATATGATAGTCCTGTATTTGTTATGTTGTTGGTGTTTTCTGGTGCTGAGGATTGAATCTGGGGCCTTGTGCATGCAAAGCACGAACTCTGCCAGCTGAGCTATATCTCCAGCTTGTTGTTGTTTTTGCAGTGCTGCTAGGTGAGCACTCTACCACTGGGAGTGCCGGGAATTAAAGCCAGGGCCTTGAGCGTGCTAGCCAAGTACTCTTATCACTGAGGCACATTCCCAACCCTACAGAGTTTTTTAGGTTTAGCATTTCAAGCATTCCTTAGAGTGTTTCCTAAGTACGTTTTCATTTTTCTGTTCTGTAAAAGTTAAGATATTAACCTTAAAAGATGTTGTGCTTTTCCTTGTAGGTGGACCTGAGAATAGTTCAGGGAGTTCTCTTAGCTGAGGGCAAAACAAATAGTATGCCTGAGCAGTCTCCAATACAGTGAGCCACGTTATGAGGGCTGCCTTATACTCCTTTGCCTAGATCCTCTAAGGGCTTATGTTGTATATCCATGTCACTATTAACTTTGGGTGAGTGAGAAAACAGGAGCCTCTGTCAGAAAATCTGACCTGTAAGTTTCCTAGGGATACTGTGGGACATTTAACTATTGGTCACTAAGTTGGTTATCAAAGATAAAGGATGTAAAGGTTTGACAGGAAAATTGTGATAGTGTGTTTGTTTCTGCTCTTCAATAAAGTTTATTTGTCTTAATCCCACAATTGGAAAGAATTTCTTAGGCAGAGTATCTTATAGTATGTTCATTGATAGCCTTGGGAAGGGATTGAATTGCATCTGAAACTTAGACATTTAACAGCTGAGTGGCCTCCCAGACGGTTTTGCCAGTTGATGACAGCTTCATACTATGTTTTTGGGATTGCCTAGAATGTAGTGCATCTAATAACTATCTTCACATAGTGTCCCCAGCAGGTGAAGGGAAGCCGGAAGCCTGCAAACTGTGCTGTTCTTTGGAACTTAGATTGTAGCAGTGGAAATTAAAAGTACTTCCACATGCTTGGAGGGTTTAAATTGCTCAAATGTCAGTCTCTTTGCTTTTCACTTGTTTTTCTGGCTTAGTCATGCCAGTTATTTGCGTTTAAACAATTTTTCTCTCTTCCTGTTTGATCCTTCAGTGAGATTCTTAAAATGCAACTGCTTAGAAACTGCTATTTTTATTGGAACACCTGATGTCACCAACAAACAGGGCCCTGTGTTTTTTCTTCCCTCCCTATAAGAGAGTTGTTTTGTTGCTTTGATATAAAATAAAATATAGTGCTCTACCTTTTTTTTTTTTTTAAGATACTAGGGAGCACCCAGGGAGACACGCTCTCATTTTTTTGGACCTTTTACTTGTTTATTTATATGTGGTGCTGATGATCAAATTCAGTGTCTCATACATGCTAGCCAAGTGCT